ACAGTCAGATATTGTGTTTTGCACTTAGCAATGAGAACAGGATGTGTATGACTGGAGGGAAAAAAGCTAAGGCAAGGTGTACACACAATTATAGAGAGTTTGAAGAAATCAGAGGGAAAGGAGAGCAGAGATTAACAGATTGATAGGATAAGTGGAAAGAGGGAGGGTACTACGAGGATTTGATGAGACATAATACATGAAAGTGATCAGTTGTAATTAATGTTATAAAACCAAATACATGAATGATTGAAAACCAATTCTAAAAAATAGTCTAGCAGCCTCACCTCCATATTTCTTTTCAGGGAGGGAGGTCTGTCTGTTTGGGTATGCAAATCTATCTTTACTATTTTACTTTAAAAAGAAAAAATTCTAGCAAATGATAAAATTCTACTAGATGAGTAGTAACTCAGGTTTGTCTCTTTGCATATCTGAATCTACACAATTATTACATCAAACCTTCCAAATGGTTTACAGTTGTGAATAAATTCATTAACTTCTTTGTCCTTATATAGAATAATAAAGAAATTGGTTGGCTTTAAATTGTAAACCTAAAGAATTTTTTGGTAAACTTAAGGAATTTTTAATAATAAATTTCATACTGAAAATATTTAAGAATAATTCTGCTTTTCCTGCAGCCTTTAAACAAAGTGATAGAATTTAAGGAGCAAGAATTTATTTTTACTATGCTTTCACCGAACTCGCTCAGCATTTCTTAAGCTTAAGGAACTGAAGAACAAATTCAAATGTAGAGTTGCTATAATCAAGGATGCTTTGGGCAGAATATGAAATGATCCAGGAAGTATTAAAAGAAGATGGAAGGAATATACTGAGTCATTGTATCAAAAGGAATTTGCAGATACAGAAGAATTTAATGAAATAACATATGAGCAAGAGCCTGTGGTGATGAAGGAAGAAGTTCAAGCTGCTTTGAAGGAAATAGCAAAAAAATAAGGCCCCAGGAATAGATGGTGTACCAATTGAAGTATTTCAGCTAACAGATGCTGCCCTGGATGTGCTAAGTTGTGCAAATAAATCTGGAGAAGAACCACTTGGCCAACTGACTGGAAGAGAGCTCTATTTGTTCCCATTCAAAAGAAGGGTGACCCAGCTGAGTGTGGAAACTACAGAAAAATATCATTGATTTCACATGCAAGCAAGATTCTACTGAAGATTATCCAAAAACGACTGGAACAGCACATAACAGAGAACTGTCAGAAGTCCAGGCTGGGTTTAGAAGGTGCCGTGGTACTAGGGATATTGTAGCTGATGTTAGATGGATCTTAGCTGAAAGCAGGGAATACCAGAAGAATGTCTTATTTGTGTTTCATTGATTATGCAAAGGCTTTTGACTGTGTGGATCATTGATTATGCAAAGGCTTTTGACTGTGTGGATGACTCTGAGAAGAATGGGAATCCCAGAACATTTAATCATACTAATGCGAAACCTATACTTGGACCAGGAAGCAGTAGTCAGAACAGAGCAAGGTAACACTGCATGGTTCAAAATTGGGAAGGGTGTATGCCAGGGATGTGTCCTGTTTCCATACCTTTTCAGCCTGTATGCAGAGCAGATTATCCGGGAGGCTGGGATCTATGAGGAGAATTGTGGCATCAGGACTGGTGGAAGATCTGTTAACAATCTGTGTTATGCGGATGACACAACCCTGCTTGCTGAAACTGAGGAGGACCTCATGCACTTGCTGCAGAGGGTCAAGGACTGCAGCCTTCGGTATGGACTGAGGCTCAGTGTCAAGAAGACAAAGATTTTCACCACTGGGCCAATTGGTAGCATCAGGATGGATGACGAAGAGATTGAGATTGTTCACAGCTTCAGTTTGCTCAGCTCCACAGTCAACACTCTTGGCACCAGCAGTCAGGAAATAAAAAAAACGTACTGCGATGATAAAGATGGCTGTTTGGGACCTCTCTAAAGTACTCAAGAACAGTGGTGTCTCTCTGGAGACTAAGGTGTGTCTGATACAGGCCATGGTTTTTGCAATCACTTGTTATGCATCAGAGAGTTGGACAATGAGGGAGGACAGAGAGGGAGGACAGAAGGAGAATGATGCCTTTGAGCTGTGGTGCTGGAGAAGAGTATTGAATGTACCAGGACTGCCAAGAAAACAAACAGATTCATCCTGGAGAGGATTAAACCAAGCAACTCCTTGGAGGCAAGGATTCTGGGGCTTTGTCTGACATACTTTGGGCATGTTGCAAGGAGGGACAGGTCCTTGGAGAGGGATATCATGTTTGGGAGGGTGTAGGGACAGCGCAGGAGGGGAAGGCCCTCTGTGAGGTGGACTGATTCAGTGACTGGGGTAATTAGGATGGTTGTGTCAGATACAGTGCGATTGGCACAGTATAGAGCAGGGTTTAGGGCTGTTGTACATAGGGTCGCTGTGAGTCACAAAGGACTCGACGGCACATTACAACAACAACAACATGCTTTCATCAGTTTTGGCTTTTATTTACTCTACATTTATTAATATTAAATAAGCAGTTGTGGTCAACTGGTCACATTTGTTCAGGACCATTATTCTGATAATACCATTTTTAGAAAACTACTTTCCTTTAAATATCATGTAAAATTTAAAAGAAGATTAAATATTACAACAGAAATAAACTCTGACAGATTATTCCTAATGGTAATGTTCTAATAGCTGATACCCAGACACTTGAAAAACCTTTACAGTTATTAAAAATTTTTTTCTTTTTCAACATATGGTAACATATAGATGAAACAATATTAATTTTTTTAAAAGAAAATCCCCTGTGGTTTACAATATCTGCTACCATGTAGATTGGCAGATGCAAATTAATTTGTTTTAAATCTAATAGCTCTGAAGATGTAGCCTGTAGAGAATTGTAGTGCTTACCCAAAAGCTATGCATCTCTGGCAGTTCTAATCTACTTGCTGTTTTTTGGATAATCTCACATCATCAGGAACTCACTCACTGTCAGGTCAGCTATGAGTTAGCTCCAACGTGATGCCATTGAAGTTGCATAGATGAATGAACACATAGTGATGGGAATATAAATTATTAAAGACTCATGGGAAAATGTGTAGCTTTACTACTAGTTAGTACATTAAGACAAAGAGATACAAAAATAATGTTTTTTAGGTAAGATCATGGACTGTTTTAAAGCTTGTGTTCCACTTTGGCTGATAAAGAAGTGTGGAATGAGAGAGCTCCATTCTGAAAGTTAGGAAATATACCTTAAAATTATTGTATCCGGAGAGCTCTGGTGGCCTAGTGGCAATGAGCTGCAACTACAATCCCAGAGGTGCACGGTTCGAATCCACCAGATGCTCTGCCAGGGAAGGAGGGACAATCTCGTGCTGTACCAGTCAGATCTGATTTGATGGTACACTCACACAAAAATAATAAAAAGTTTAAAAAAAAAGAGAGAGAGAGAGAGAAATTATTGTATCCTTGGATCCAGTAAATGTCGAAGGAAATCAAATTTAGAAAATGCATATACATATGTAGACCCTTTCTTTATAATAAACTTGATATTAGAAGAATGAGTAAATTATATGTATGCTGTGGACTATTTCATAGTCATTAAACCAATCATTTGTTTATGTAGTCATTTCATTTTATGAAAGCACACTTAGATGCATCCATATTTATACTTTTTTATATTTTTTAAATTGCCACTATGATTCTCTTTTCCCTCATTAAGGAAATATCTAATTAATTAATTTTCATAATACACTTAAATATATACCAGCACCTGATTAAGAATACTTGGGCATTTTGTTGGTGTAGTCTTTGTTGCTTATACCTATCAGCAGCTCTCAGGGAGAGAGATGAGCCATCTTCCCACCTATTAAGATTGACAGCCTTGGACACCCAATTGACGGAGTGTCCCTATGATTTGGACCAACTTGACTGAAGCAAACTTGAGATTTTTAATCTAGGATATTAAGTATATTAATTTTATTCTACAACCACTTCCTAAGATGCTATAATTTTTCTCATTTTACAGATGAAGAAACTAAGAGGCTGCAGAGGCCAAGTAAATAAGCCCCAAATTACTAAGTAAATAGTAGAGTTGGAATTTGAGTCCCAAGTCACCTGACTTCTTCTTCCTTCAATTGTGTTTAATCAGCTCTGCAGCAGAAGGGTTAATCCTAGTTTCAAGTCCACTTGAAATATTGTAACTTCAAGATACAATTCTGGGTTGAATTTAATAGTTATTGTGGGCAAATTGTAGGTGCAAATTGCCAGCAATCTTTAAAGTTACATGTAATGATTTGCAACTTGTTACCTATTTTCTTGAATTTTATATGCTTGGACTCATACAGCTTACCTTTTCGACTTCTTCCACTTAATGTAATGCTAATGAAATTCATCTTGTTACTTCACATATTTATTTGTATGTGTGTTTTCTTTTTACATTTAAATTTATTATTAATTTCGGTAAAAATTTACAGTCTTTGGATTTCCATTCATTCATTGTTGCACATTTCTCCCCTCCACACCCTCCCCCCAGAACACTACCCTCTTGGAAAAGTAAAAGAAAAATTCCCCCATTGTTTTACAAACCCTCCCCCAGGTCCACTCCACCATGCAGCCATTGCTCTAGACTCCTGTCATGAGAGAAATACCTAACCACATATCTCTTTTAAACAGTTTTCTCCCTCCTCTGTTTCAGTGCAGTATACATTATTGAACCCATCTTAGTCTATCCCCAACCTCAATGTCAGTCCTCTTTTACGACAGTTTCCTTCTTACCGTTTCAAGTAAAAATAAGGATTATAATATTCTCTCTCTGCACTTAAAGGCGCTATATACAGAGTTATAGATTTAAAGTGCTTTTCAAAGATTTTTTTTGTTTGATAGCATCCTTGTCTTATAAAGCAATAAAATCATACATACTCATAATAAAATTTAAGATTCTTTTCTAGGATAGATTAATAGATATACCAAGTGCAGAGTGTTTCAGTTTTTCTCTTTTCTAGAAAAATTAATTACTATTTTAAATCTTAACAGATATCAGACACCCAGAAGAACTTTCTCTCTTGAAAAAACCCAGAGATCCCACAAAGAAAAAAAAGAAAAAGCTTGATGATCAGTCTGAAGATGAGGCACTTGAACTTGAGGGGCCTCTTATTACCCCTGGTTCAGGTAAGACTTTGACTAAATAAGAAGCTAAATGAGAGTGAGGAGTTACTTGCCGGAGTCCTATTAAAAGTGGGTGAAATTTTGTAAATTACTACCTTACTTGGGAGGGACTGGAGAGCATTAGTCTTAAGTAAACTAACTCAGTCCCATAAGGATGAGTACTGTATAAGACCATTATTGTAGAAATTGAAAGATAACTAGGAAAATGTGTCTGAGGATCCAAGAGGGGAGGGAGGAGCAGAGGAGTCAGAATGGGCAGGGGTGGGTGATCACACAATATGATGGGTGGAGGGAGGGGTGAGTTAAGGAAATGGGAAAAATCTGGTGTGAAAAAACAATGTATTCGAACTTTGTAAGCAAACCAGTATAAAATAAAGATTTTACTTTAAAAAAAATACATACATTTAAAAGTGGGTAAGATAGATCACATAGGTCAGAAGAATGGTGCACGTTTTAAATAAAAACCTCTGGCATCTTTTCTCAATTAAGTCACTGTTTTTATCACTAGTATCTGTTAGTTGAATATCAGCCTACCTTATGGGTTAATAGTTGCACCAATAAGAAGAAAACTGGTTCATTGAGGACAAAGTGTCCAGAAGGGACAGTACCTTACCTACACTCATTAAACTACTTTCCCCCCTTCCATATTCTGTGAAAACCACTACTAAGTTTAACACATTCTTAACTTACTTAAAATGCCCTTTGTACACTACATTTGCTAATCCTTTACCTTTCAACTTTCTTCCTAAGGTTTGCTCTTATAATTAAAAGCTCCCTGCTTGAAGGGACTCTATCTTACATCTTTACTTAACAGAATCTAACTTAGCATATAGCATTTGGCAGGGATATAGGAAATACCTTTTTTTTAAAAAAAGAAAATTTTATTTTAATTGTGATTTTAACAGACTTTTACAGAGAAGTTAGATATTCATTCATTGTTGCAAGGAAATATCTTGGTTGATTAAGTTACATAGGTCTACAGTTAGTTCTGGACGTAGGTTACTGAACAGACATTAGTTTGCCATGCTTCCATCAGTTGTACATTTAGAGACTTATTTCTTAAGCTGAATGCTTCAATAAAACAGTGAAATTTTACTAATTTAGTTCATGTTTGGCTTTATAAATCCTTTGACATAAAAACAATAGTAAACACTAATGTAGTATTTCCTATATCCTCAAAATTTACTCATAGAAATTCATTTAGTTCTCATAACAGTCCTTTGACAATATCCCTATTATTATTCACACTTAAGAATGAAGAAATTGTAGCACAGTAAAGTTAGGAATGTCTTAAGGACCTTACAACTTTTCTGTACCTACTTAGATCCCAATTTCATTTTGGGAGATAGAAAACCTATCACTGTTGTGTTAATTCTGACTTATACTGAGACTACAGGGAATAGTAGATAAGTTCCTGTATAGGTTTCCTAGGATGTGAATCCTTACAGAAGTACACTGGCACATCCTTCTCCTGCAGGTTTAAGCTAAGAACTTTTCAGTTTGCAACTGAGGACTGAGCCACAGGGCTTCCTTGGAAAGAAAGAAAGCAATCCTTTTTATAAGTAAGGAACTCAGATGGCCTAGTGGGTAAGGAGGTGCACTGCCCACTCAAAGGCATGTGTTTCACACCTCCTAGCTGCTCCTTATGGGAAGATATACAGCCTCTTCCTGTGAAATTTACAGCATTTTAAAACCTACCAGAGGGACAGCTACAATTTGGTTTCAGCTTGATGGTACAGAACATCCTTAAGTAAGTTATACTCATTAAATCAGTTCTGACCCCTGGCAATAGCATGTTTCAGAGTAGAACTCTTTATTTCTTAAGATTTCCAATGGCTATGATCCTTTGAGAATAGGTTACAAGACCTTCCCCCCCCCCCCAAGCTATTTATAGGTTATTTAACAAACACAAAGGAGCCCTGGTGGCATAGTGAATATTAGGCTGTACAGCAAAAGTCAGTGATTTGAATCTTATCACTGACTCTTTGCGAGAAAGTTGTAAAAATGTATAACCTTCAGAATCCAAATGAGAGTCACCATAACTTGGAGCCAACTGAAGACAGTGAATTTTAATTTAGTTATTATACTTAAAGAGTTGTGTTGTTAGGTGCCAGCAAGTCATTGACAACTTATAACGACCCTCTGAACGAAAGACCTGGACACTTGTGTAACTTTTATTGTTTCTCCACATTCATAGAGTTTCCACAGGCAAGCTTTTTCGGAAGTGGATGCCACTCCTGCTTCCAAGCTTGTTTTAATTGGGGAGCTCCACCAAACACTGTCAACCATAGGTAACCATTATCTCATTTGGTACATCAGTGTCACAGTGCTTAGCATCACAGCAACCACGAATTACCTCTGTACAGCAAATGGACAGAGCAGTGGTATACCACTTAGAAGAATGTTTGATCAAAAGCAGTTAAAACCAGGCCTGAGGGAGGCAGAGAGAGAGAATATATAAATATTAAATGAACAGGTAGAAAATAAGCTATAAAGAGTCTTAATACAAAATTATTTATTCCCACTATAATATATTCATCTTTATGGGATGAAGAAGTAGGTTTTTAAATTAAACTTTATTATTCTGGTGGATAGGATTTTGATGGAAAGGAAAGGTATCATCCAAACACAATGATACTGATAAACAGAATTCTGGCCCCAAACAAACTACCAGACATAGGTTATCTAAGACCATGCATGAAGAAAAGACTTACAAGATCAGAACCAAATTAGAGAGTCTTTAATGGTAGTCTGAGAAATTTAGATTAGGACGTTGTAAAAGTTAGTAGCTTTTGAGCATCTTCTTGTTACTCTTGTGTGCTGTTGAGTCAGAACCAACCCATAGATGACCCTGCAGTGAAATTTTGGAGAGCGTGTTAGGAAATGAATAATCATCATATAAGGAATAGTGTGACATTGACTTTGAGTAAATAAATGGGAAGAAAAGCAGTGGTAGATGCCCCCAGATTGAGTGGGAGGAAAAAAAAAATTCTTGAAATTATTGGGTTTTTTAAAATTTTTACTTCAACATGAGATCTTATAAGGCATTAAATGGCGTACACAATTCCTGCTTTCATTAATAGTTTAAAGGAAAACTCATTCTCAGGATGGCACATAAAAATAAGCATATGAAATGAATTTTTAGTGGTCTATTTTAGAATTTTAAAGAGGAGAAGTTTGCAGTGTTTTAAGAGAAGATAAAGATTAACAGATGACTTAAGAGTAAAGTCATATGTGTGCTTTTAAATTAAGGTAATACTTAAGTACAAAAATTTAAAAAAACAAACAAACACCCTGAATTATAAATTGAAATACTCACACCCTCTCCATATCATGATGCTTCCTTCATGCCATATCCCACATGAAGATAACCACTTCTTGCCTTCTCTTACCAGATTAGTATGACCTCTTTCTTGAACTCCATATGACTAAAACCATAAACTGTGTAGTCTCCTATGTCTGAAAGTGCTGTGATTGAGTCTAAAAAGAAAGTTGGGTTGTCTTATCACCATCCCTCCTCAAAGTATAGTCTACCATAATGACTCGGGTGGAGTACAGCTTTCACTCAATGAGGGACCTACATTTACTGATGTGACATGCCTCAAAATGAGGAGTAACCACTGCTAACACCATTAATAATTATAGCATGGAATGCAGGAATCTGGGAAAATTGGAGATTGTCCAAAATTAACTAGAACACATACAGATCAACATCTTAGGCATCAGTGAGCTGAGATAGATTGGTTTTGACCATTTGATGTACTAGGCCAGAACTGACAAAATGAAGAGAAGTGGTTGTGGGTATTCATCATCAAAAAGCTTTTCAAGATCTCTACTGCAGTACGTTGCTGTGAGTGATAGGATATTGTTTATACACATACAATGCAGTCCTATTAGTATAAGCAACCACAAAAGCTAAAGATGAAGAAATGGATAATTTCTACCAATTTTTGAAGTCTGAAATATGCAATCAAGATAGATTAATGATAATTGTCAACCAAAATGCAAAAGTTAGAAACAATGAGGAAGAAATGTTAGTCTTGGTGACAGAAATTAGAGTGGACTTCTAATAATAAAATTTTATACATTCAGTGTTTTATTCATCTCTAATATTTCTTTTTTAAAAAAGCACAAAAGGTGACTGTACACGTGGTTCTCACTTGGTGGACTGCACAGGAATCAGATTGACTACATCTGTGAAGAGAATCATTGAAGAAACTCAGTAGCATCAGTGAAAACCAGGCCAGGTTCTGACTGTAATAATAGACCAGCAAGCAATTACAAATCAAACTAAAGTTGAAGCAAATTAAAACATATCCATAAGAACCAGAATATTATCTTCAGAGTATTCCAACTGAACTACTTAAAAATCGTCAAGGACTGCAGCCTTTAATATAGATTGAAGCTCAACATCAAGAAAACAAAGATTCTCACCAACTGGGCTGATTAGCAGCATCATGTTAGACGGTGAAAAGAATGAGATTATTAACAGCTTTAGAGTTTGCTTGGCTCCACAATCAACATTCTTGGTATCAGCCAGGAAATCAGAAGATGAATTGCATTGGGAAAATCAGCTGTCAGGGACATTTCCAGAATACTAAAAAGCAGCAGTGTCAGTCTGGAGTCTAAAGTGCACCTGATCCAGGCCATGGTCTTCACAGTTATGTGCAATGCATCAAAAAGCTGGAGAATGACAAGGGATAATAGAAAGAGAATTGATGCCTTTGAGCTGTGGTGCTGGGGAAGAGTATTGAATATACCATGAACTGCTAAAAGAACAAACAGGTTCATCCAGGAGAGGGTGAAACCAGGCTGCTTCTTGGAGGCAAAGATTCTTGAGGCTCCATCTGACATACTTTGGGCATGTTGCAAAAAGGGACCAGTCTTTGGAGAGGGACATGATGCTTGGGAGGGTGGAACGACAGTGCAAGAGGGGAAGACCCTTGAGGAGATGGATTGACTCTGTGACTAGAGTAATGGGAGTAGGTGTGTTGGAGACAGTA